GAAATAATTAGGAACTCCTTCTGTAGTCTGAGAGTGATGCAGGAATCCCTGACTTCTGGGCATAGAGAGAAATCCCCTGACTATTAAGAACATATCATTCATTTGAATTTTTTATTCTTTTATTGTGAGTATATGCCTTCTCTTTTAAAATGCAAGTTCATTATAGAATTTTAATAATGAATTTAATAAGCTCAAATACAGAAGTATAGCACAGATGCATTCAGCAACAATTATAATTGAATTATTCATGCTCTATAAATTTAAACATCCAGTCTTCTGTACTACATTATGATATATTTATCTATGCATATGAAAATCACCTTGACTATAGTTAGCACCATTTACTTACAGAAATGAAATAAAGCTATGGATATGAATCCATGGAAACTGCTGGGTTCCAAAGCACGGAGTATTTTTGAAGTAAGACTCCTGGGTTCCAATTCTACTTGGAGAATATTATCTCTGTGACACCGGCATACCAACAAGATGCGGCACAGCAACAATTCTTAAATCTCGAAATACGATCCACACCTTGCAGTATTAATTATTAAGGGGACCAACAAGTTAAGGTACTTACATCTATTAGAATGGCTATGCTGCTCATTCCATTATTACTCAGTATTCTAAAAAAAAAAAAAAATCGTAGTTTTCTTTTCCCATCGTGTTCCAGTACATCATTTCATGGCTATTTGTCATACAGAAAAAGCAATCACTTCAAAAATTAATTTATTTCTGTAAGATCATTTGCTGACCACATTGTTGTCAGTCATAGCTTTTGCAACTTCTCCCTAAAGTTCATTTAAATCTGAACTTCAACATACTTTTAGTTATGACTTACCAAAAGGTATTACTTTGATTAAATTCTACCTACAGAAACTGCAATGTCTAAGAACACTAGTCATAGTTTTCTACAGTTAACAGTGCTCTATACAGAGATGGTCCTCTACACAGTTAGTAAAATTAAATCAATTATTTATTTTGAGCCTGAATAATAGGCACCAATTTCACAGTTTTACCTTGCTGTGAATATGAAAATTATATCACTCATTCAATGTTAAAAAAAGACTACAACATAAATTATTTCTATCATAGAAGGCAACCTTAGATATCTAACAATGAAATACCAACTAATAAAGTAATGCTTCATGTAAACATTTCTTAAATATTGCATTTAGTATGACAGCTTAATGACTTTTTTGCTTATTCTAGGAGGAATGGAACAATCAACTGTCATTTGGATAATTAATATAACCAAGAAAAGACTGTTTCTGTTATGATCTTTTTATAATGTAAATATACAATATAGGGCTTTAGCACATAAATTCCCATAGTATTTTACTAATGACATTTGTTACAGATCCCCCAGAAAAACATAAATAGAAACATCACCCTGTTTAAACTTTCTGATAATTTGAAAAAAGTATATTTTTGGAGATTTCCTTCCTTTCTTTTGAAATTCTCAAGGTCAATTTCATAAAATACCAAAGCAGTAATGCATAAAGGAATTATTAAAAGTCTAATGAAATTATTTGAACTTCCAACTACAGCAGCACTGATTAATGACTGCTTTTTAATTAACTGAAAGTTGTTCAATCATTGTATCATTTCCTTTCACCTGAAACATCTCATAGTGGGGTCAGCCCAAAACATATGCTAGTGCATTCTGCAGTGGGGTATAATTATACAATTTCATTCTTCTTGGCAGAACAAGTAAGTGTGGGCTGTTCATTTCTCATTTATTCACCATGATGCTATTCCCTGTTCAGCTGGCTAGTTTGATCAATGAAGACAGTCTTAGGCTTTAGAATATGAATGAAGTTTACTTTGAAACTCTTCCTCCAAATAATATAAAACCCACAATTATCTCATATTATAGAATCTTTGATTATCTCACATATTCAGCATCCATAGTTTCGTACAGATACAATATATAGCCTATATTACAGCAAACTGTCTTCCTGGTTCTCAAATCCATTCACTGGTCTGTGAGAAGATAATGGCATTCCCTATGGGTCAATTTTACAAATATTAGTATGGCAACTTTATTAGATTGCTTACACATTATGTGCTTAATTCCTAATTCTAATGAGAGCCAAGATAATTCACTAGCATTAACAAGGGTTTCCTAAATTGCATTGATATAAACATTACAGCCAGCAGGAGGCATACCCTGTACACTAATCATAATGATAAGCAATAAATTAGGGTTCTATAAATTTAACAAATTTAAACTTCAAAGGGTTGGTGATTTAGGTTAGGGGGTTCTGCTGCCTGCCTCACAAGCACGAGGTCCTGAGTTCAATTCCTGGTACAAAAAAAGAAAATAAATGACAGACAGAAAGAAAGAAAAACCCAAATATTATTAAGTTACACTGTAAGGTTCACACTTTCTGCCATTCTCAAAATATTTGAAGCCGAAAGCTCTGAAAATAGGCACCAGACCTTCTTATTATTTGAATCATACAATGATAATGGTTTTGAGAGTCTAGGTAGCCACTGGGGAAAATAAGACTTCCTCAGCTAAGAGAGGAGCTACCAATGAACTACCCATACACATTCTTTTGGAACTAAAGGGGAGCCTACCATTCCCACTCCAAAATATGCACTGTGTGTGTGCTTGGTGTGTTTATACAAAGATTTATGTTAGATTAGTTTTCTGTTGAATATTCTTCTATTACAGATAAATTGTCTATAGTAAGTACAAATGAATATAATGCCTTTGATCACTTGTCACTTACTATGTTTCAGCCATTGAAATGAAAATACCATGCTTCATAGAAGACATGCTCCGTAACTTAGGCTTTTACTCCATTTCTCAAAAAACTTCAAAACAAAGTTTATTTTCCAAATACAATATAGTTAAGCTGCTCTGAAAATTCTATATAGAACAAGCATGGAAAGTTATCATGAAATGAAGTAGAATTCGCATATAGCAATAATAAGATACAATAGGAGAGAGAAGAAAGGTAGCAAATATAAAGGAAATTCAGGAAAACGCCTTAAAGAGAACAGAGATACAGAATGTAGCTCAAGAAAGATGCTGGCATTCTGCTCTCGCTATGATACTTCGGCTAGGCAGATAACTTGGTAATCTTATATTGGAGACTAACTCAGAACAAAGGGTCAATTTGAAAGAAGGTGGCAAGGAAGAAAAAAAAATATTCAGTAGAGAAAGTGCCTGCCATTCACCTTATTTAACTTGAGGAGGATTTGTCAATGTCTTCAGGGTCAGATGGACACAGCCGCAAAAATCTGAATTTGAGAAATTTTGCCACCAATTTACCCAGGAAGGCTACTTTCTCAGCAAAATGCTCTGGGGATAAAGATGCTGTAAGATACATAACTGGGTGCTTTTCTTTCGTTTCTATTCCAATGTGATGCCTAGAAATCCCCAAACAAAAATTTACAAAAATCACACAAGAATTTACAAAAACCACATAAGAAGAGTGTTAGATTTGGACAACTGTCTTCACTATTGACGCATTTAAGAACCAAAATGTGTCAACTAATGGAGCACTCTATGGTGCAGAAGGAGAGATTTATTTATTGCCCTTTCCACTCTATCAGACAGGAATTTTTTATCCCCACACCCAAGGAATCAAAGCTCCAATTCACATTGACTCTATGTTCTATCATTTCATAAAAATAAATAAGATGCATTTGTTTAAAAACTTTTTCATATTTTTCAAGGTTTTGGGGGTCAATTCCAAAACAAATTAGTCTGAGTTCTATTCCTTTCACATGGTAAGTATAATATTGTGATATTCAGGTAACAAGTGAACTGGAGTAGCAACAGTCACATGTCCAGCTGAAGGGCAGGTATAGTGGGGAGATCAAGGGAATTAAGCTGGAACTCTCATGTGAGCACCAATCTGTGACATCCCTAGTACGTCAGACTTCTCACATGACAGGCCAGAAACCCAAGAGTAAGCCTTCTAACAAACAAGGAGGAAGCTTCATGGCCTTATGTTAGACCTACTGTTATGCATCAGAGTAACCTGAAAGGGATGAAATGAGCTGAAAACCTCACTGAGGTCTAGGAATAGTACCTCCACTATTCATGTTTAGAAGCAGTTATTTTAGATAAACAAGCTGACTCATGTTTATACTTCTCCCAAATTGAGGCTGAATGAAAACCCTCAACAATGATGTCAAAAGCTCTTTCTGGTTGTGAAAATTTAAATTGCCTTCTAAAGTGTTGTAAATGTGTGCTAGATGCACTAAAGGAAGAAAGGAGAAAAGGTGAAATCTACTCAGGAAGTATTTCTCCAGCTTTTCAAAAGACCATAAGCAGCAAGGCCGAGGCAATGTGCTTCTGTTACAAATGACTATGTCAAGAGCCAAATGTTACCACTCCCATCCTAATTATTGCTTGAGAAAGCTATAACAATGCCTTTGAGTATCCCATCAAACAAATAAGACCTACAGTCACTCTCAGTTGGATTTTCTTTGTGCCAAGGTGAAACCAAGTCAAAGGATAAATCTTGGCAATCATATAGATTCCAAGCAACTACTTAAATACAATTAAAATGCCAATACATTCCACAGTTATACTCACTAGAAATAATTTCTAATAAAAGGAGAGAGAAGGAAAAAGGATGCTTTAAAGATACTGTCTTCAATTTCAGAAAATATTTCACAACGAGTGATTTTATGTGATAATTATTTCTCTCCACCACGCTCATAAACCTCCCAATGATAAAGATACACGGATTGCGTATGGGAGAAGTTGGCACTTCTGTGAATTTGTGAAAGTTCCGAGTGGAAAAGGGTGAAGTCACACCAGGCATTCATGCAATCTTGCAAAACAGAGCTCATTGGCAGCTGTCACTATTTCCCTGGACTTAGGCTATAAGGAAAAGGAACAGGTTTCTGAATTTTCCCATGAGACCACTCAGCTGTCAGTCCAAAAATGAAAAACACCACAACAGGGACTCATTTAAAAGCATTAAATCCAAAGCGATGCAGTATAACATTGATTCTGTCCGTGTCATACTTACTAACTTTACTCGCAATAATGGAGAAATTATACTGCGCAGTACTTTCTCTGTCTAGTAATTCATTAGTGGCGATGGTTCCTTCGGTTCCATCTATTGTAAAGTAGCTGTCCCCATCAGTCTTCCAATCTATGAAGTACCTGTATATGAAAAGAATAGATGCAAATGTGCAACGATTACGCATTTATCATAATGGCAGTTACGCAAACTTGACAGAGTTCCTTATTTTGCTCCCTGTAGCTATTACCTCCACTGAAGTAAAGAGGAGTGGAAATGACAGCTTTTTTATTGCAAAGTCAGTATGCTCAGGGGGAAACTGGAAATAATGAAAGATTTAGTACTCCTGCTGTTCATATTATTTGAGGGTCTTGACACCTTGAAAATTCAGCAGAGACAAAAAATTTTAAAGCTGACCATGGATTTCCTTAACCTGCTGAATATTAAAACATCTTTGAGCAGTAAAACATTCCTTCACAGTAGCTGTGCAAAGTGTTAGGGGTTGGGGAGACATCTGGAAGACGCTATGAAACCTTATGCCAGAAGAGAGGAAGGATCTTTGTGTTTCCATGGTAAGAAAAAAAATCACATCACGGAAAATAAAAGATTTTATCTGACCATTTGGTGGTTGTGCAAACATAGTTCCCCTGAAACATATTAAAAAAGAGTCGTTGCTGTTTTATTATATTATATATCAGGACACTTTTCTTTAAACAAACAGTGACCTTGGCGAATGATGTCCTTTTATGCTTTTTATTATCAGATATATTCTGTAGTAAAATATGCTCTCTTATTGCAGCAACTGGGCTAGAAAATACAAGAAAATGAATAACAAAGAAAATGGCATTTATTTAAGTCTTTATATAATGACAAACACTTTAACGGATAGAAATATTTTCAATCATAACAAGAAATAACATGCTTAAAGCTTGCTGTGTAGTCGATACTATGTTCAATTATTTTATATATTAACATATTAATCCTCACAGGAGCCTTAAAAAGAATATTGTGAATCTGTGGAAATGTGTGAGGAAAACAAACGGAGGAAACATGAAAGAACTTCCCCAAATTGACACAGCTTGAAAATTTTATGCTGATACCTGGACCATATCCTTACCAATTTGAAATAGATATTTTTGTGAGAAAGACTCTCTAATCACAAGGTAGAATGCACAATACATTTATCAACATTATTATTCTGTCCTGGGAATCAAGAGAAGGTTCTTCAAACAGTGCGTGAGAACAGATGACATTTTTTGCCTTCTTGCAGCCCGCCTGTTGAAATCCCCAGCCTAAAGCAAGTGCATCCCTTGTTTACCATGAAATATCATTTAAGGGCTGTGTATCTTCAAACAGAGAGTTATTATTTTGGAAAAAAAAATCCTGTTATTTGAAACGGTGGTGGTTGGCATTTCATTGCAGTGGGAGATCAAAAATAGTTTGCCTTTACAAATGAGATTTCTGAGTTTAACTTGTCAATATTTGTTAGTCACTGATTTCCCAACCAGAAGTTGCTGAGCATTATAGGAAGAGCTCATGGACCACGCTGTTAACCTGCTTTTCGCATCTCAGATGCTGCTATGAAGTGTGAGAATGTACTGAAGCCTTCAGATTTTAATGTAAGAACTGTCTCATAGGAATGCTCTCCAAAATAGAAATCAAATTAAGACATCTTTAAAGTTAGGAAGCACAGGGACTTAAGGAACCTCATTCTCCCTATTGTACGTGCTTTCCTGAAAGAGAAAGCATTTTCCCTCAGTCGCCCTTTTTAGTGCCTCTAGTCAATTTAAGCCCATGTCTAACTGCAGAAGTTTGCTACTGGATATATTTATCAGTGAGCACTTCTGTAAGAGCTGCTTATGTAGACTGTTTCTAATCATATAACTCATTAAATATTCTCTGAGCATCACCTTGGCCCCAGACACTGAAGCATATTTGGGATGACGGGATGCCTAGCCCTGAAAGTATGGGGAGGAAGGTGTCAGCAGATGACCTCTATGCCTCTGTCAGAGAGAGAGGCCCCACAGGAGTGCCAAGGAAGGGCCATGCTTCAGGGAAACCTTCCAGCGCGTCACGTTTGGCTGAAGCTAGAAAAGTCATTAGCAATAACAAAGGAAATGTCTGAGGGTCTCAAAGAAAGGGAAGGGAAACAAGGAAATCCAGGAAGCTGCAGCAGCAGCACTGGAGAAGTACACCACGCCAGTGATTTCTGGAAAACACACCCAAGAGGGCCAGCCACATTAAGATGGTCATAGTAAGAATATGATTTGAGATGCTACGTGTGATCTCTACCACTGAAGAGGACTATTAGGGGATGGACTAAGAGCCATCTCTTTGAAAGGAATGGGTTGGATACATTTGGAGGAAAAGGACAAAAGTATTTTCTATAATGCTGAATCTCACCTAAAGATCCAGAGCAAGAACAAAGGCAGTTTAGAGATTCAAGTAAAGAGGCATGTAATCCAGCGGCAAATTCAGCACTTGCTTACAATGCTGGTGATGGACTATTAGGGGATGGACTAAGAGCCATCTCTTTGAAAGGAATGGGTTGGATACATTTGGAGGAAAAGGACAAAAGTATTTTCTATAATGCTGAATCTCACCTAAAGATCCAGAGCAAGAACAAAGGCAGTTTAGAGATTCAAGTAAAGAGGCATGTAATCCAGCGGCAAATTCAGCACTTGCTTACAATGCTGGTGATGGGTGATGGATGTACCTTGGTAAAGAAGATTATGAGTGGAGGGGTCAGTGGAAGAGAGACAGCAACTGAACAGGGGATCTCCATAAACAAAGTTTTCAGATAAGTAGAAAAGGACAAGGACTTTTATGTCAGAACTTCTCTAATTTAGAATGGATTTCCTCAGGGAACAGCACGAGGGGTAAATTTCCAACCCACATTTCATTTTTTCCATAAATCTACTGAGATATAATTTATGTCCACATGCTGTACAATTCACCTATATAAAATCTATAATTCAGTCATTGTATGTGTGATCAGAATTGTGCACAAATGTAGCAGCTTTTATGAAAAATTTTAAATGTCTGAATACTGAATTTTTTGGTAGGTTGTGATGAGAACCAATTGTCTGGAATTTTCATTTATAAGAAATTAGGAAGGTGTCAAGATGTATAAATGCATTTGAAATGAGGGAAAGTACTTTGTGAGGGACTAATGCCAGTGTGCCCTTTGCCATGATACATTTTTTAAATTTACATGTTAACTATATTTTTATATCTCATGTAAGCACTCAGTAATGCATATTTATATAATGTGTTACTCCCTAACACTGTGGAATGAACCACTGATTTATATATAAACGTGGATGAGTATCAAGTGTTTTGCTATTTGAAAGAAGGCTTACATTTTGAAAAGTAAATACTGAAAAAAAAAACAATACAGTAATACCGCACATGTCACTAAATGACAAAATTCATTCTCTAATATCATATTTAAAATTTCGTAGTGTCTGTATAAATATTGCCTTGGTACATGAATTGTATTAGGTACTCCTTAACATGACTGATAAGAATCACTGCTTTATTTTATTTCTGAAAGATTAAATGTATAACAAAATTGTAACAGAAGTGCTATAAACTTTCAGATACCTTTCTTTTTAGGCATTGCATTAATATAAAATCCCAGGCCTGACAACTAAATGCTGAAACAATTTTTTCAAGGTCAAAAATGATCAGTTTGACCGCATATTGTCAATGTGAATGCTAGCCACTCAGTAACAGAGGTGCCGAGTCATCTTTTGGAAATAATTACTTCCACACTTTATCCTAGAACAAAAGCAAAATAGATGTGAAGTTAGGGCAATTTGAGACAAATCTGATGACCAGTGTAATTGGGAACTACAGATAAGGTGAGTGACTCCAGCTGTTTTCTATGGTATCAAGACCAAACTAGGCCTCAGCGTGGATGACAGACCCCGTACCAGACAAGGCAGGTACTAGGTTAACCTTAAACTGTAAACCGCGCATATCCCAAGCACCAACACACTGTTTGCCCCCAGACAGACAGAAGCTGCTACCAACTTTCTTTATATATATATTTTTTTATTGAGTTTACAATATAGTGACATTCATTACTAGGATCCTGTACCTTCATATGACAGGTCTCATTTTTTTCCCGGTCCCTGCCCTCCCTTCACCGCCTCCTCCCCTCTCCATTTGCAAACACTTTATTTCCATTTTTTCATTTTCTCATATTTTTTTCTTTTCCCTCATTC